GGCTCCTTCTCCACTCTCTGCTTTGTCTGACCTGCTGGCTCTTTCTTGCAGACCTGACCCGTGCAGTGAACGCTCTGCCACAGAACATGACCTCCCAGATGTTCAGTGCCATCGCTGCTGTGACAGGCCAGGGGCAGAACCCCAATGCCACCCCTGCCCAGTGGGCATCCAGTCAGTACAGCCCAGGGGCAAAACCCCAAGGCCCCCCCTGCCCAGGGGGCATCCAGTCAGTACGGCTACGGAGGCAGCGGAGGCGGCAGCAGCGCCTACCACGTAGGTGTCACTTAATGTCTGAGGAGGTGCTGCATGGCTTCTCCTTGCTGCTGGAAACCATCCCATGGGGGCTGGACTCAGAGCCAGAGGGGTTACTAGGATCATCTAGACCTGTGGATCTGTGGTTCTGCACATGTGGAGCCTCCTGGATGGTTGGACTGGGTTTCTTCTCGCCTCCTGTGGCTGAGGAAGTGAGACACATGGTAGAGCCTTCCTCTGGGGAGAGCAGAAGCAAGTGGCAAATTGGTCTGGCCCCCAGGGAATGGGGTGGGGTGGAGCAGTGGGATCCAGTGGTGAGGAGGGCGCACAGCCTTCCGATTGTGCCCCTGAACTAGCAACGTGAGCTGCCTGTGGAAGGGATTAGCTGTGGAACTATGTGCTGAGTTCGCAGGGCTTTTCAGCTCAGCCTGCTAATCTCCAGGCTGCACCAGCAGGAGAGCACCTCAGCCTGACAGCACCCGGAGCCTTTGCATGGAATAAGGTGGAATTGGGTGATTTGGTCTCACACTGAAGCCTTTCCTCATGTGTGCTGGTGCCTCCCTGCTGCCAGCTCCCCAGCTCACACCAAGGCTAAATCCAACTGCAGAGGGACTGAGGTGCCTGGGTATGAAATCACACCCAGCCGTTAGAGCCTGATGAAGAGGTGCTGCAAGACAAGGCTTGCAGGGAGGCGTGATCCTCGTTTAGACCACCTTGGGAGGCTTTCATGGAGCTTGGCACAGTAAATGCTGAGTTGGGGATAGGCAGGGACTGTGGATAACCCGATGCATTAATCATCAAGACAATCTGAAGGAACAGGGAAGTGAACACCAGGAGGCAAAAAGACTAAGCGCTCCCTTGGGCAAACAATGAGGCAGGCAGGTTGGGATGTGGGAGGAAGCTATCTCGTGAGCCTCTGCACCTTCTCTGAAGACCCCAGGGGAAAATTCATCTCTTCTTCATGCCCACTGCAGGACGTCATTTCTGCTAGCTTGCCTCAAGTATCTCTTATGCCCACCTCTTGCAGCTCTTGCCTTGGCTTAAGGACCTCCCCTTGCACCCTGCACAGGGTGAACAAGGAAGACAGGCTGTGGTGGCCCTGCTGGCCCAGGTTGGGTGAGCGATGGTGGCTTTCAGAGGAACTAGCATCCTCTGCTCAGCATGTTGTGCTTTCTGCCTTGCAGCCCCCCATTCCATGGGCAGTGGTCACTGCAAACCTCTGCGCTCAGATGAGGGGCTCCAGCAGGGCTGGGAGCGTGCAGCAAGGGCATGCTCCAGCCTCCTGAGTGAATAGGGCAATGCAGAGCACACCAGACCTCTGCACTGCAGCCCAGTGGGGCTTGTCCTCCCTCCCCTGACAGTATCTGCTCTCTGCAGGTCTTCACAACTCCAGCCCAGCAACCCGTGGCCACCCCTCTGATGACCCCCAGTTACTCCTACACTACCCCCAGCCAGCCGATTACAACGCCCCAGTACCAGCTCCAGGCCAACACCACACCCCAGTCCACCCAGTCCCAGACACAGTCGCAGCCGTCGTCCAGCTCCAGGCAGAGGCAGCAGCCAAAGTGAGTGGCTCCAGCACCGGGTGCACGTGTCCATCTGTTTCTTGTCTTGATTGCTGTTGATCTTTGTGAAACTGTGTGGTGGGGTTCCCTTGCCCCCCAGGCAGGGAGGTAGAGGAGGGAAGCTCTCTCACCCCCGTGTCTCACCCTCTGCCCCTGTTTTTGCAGGACCAACAGCCACGCTGCCATCGACTGGGGGAAGATGGCCGAGCAGTGGCTGCAGGAGAAGGAGGCTGAGAGGAGGAAACAGAAGCAGAGGTTGACTCCTCGCCCGTCTCCCAGCCCCATGATCGAGAGCACGCCCATGTCCATCGCTGGGGACGCCACGCCGCTGCTGGACGAGATGGATCGATAGGACCCCACCCCAGCTCCACCCCCTTCTCCAGGAGGGGCAAGGGAGAAGGGAGAGCGAACAGTTGAACACAACTTCCCTTTCCTTAGCCACATAACTCCCGTTTTATATGTTGTGAGATGTTGGGAAGTGACTCTTGGTGACATGCACCTGAGCGAATGAATAGACTTGGCAGGGCTGGTCTAAATGCATATACTCTATATATATGAATATATCATAGGAAGGGACTCTGCAGCAGCCTCTGCATTCCAGGCCCTGCTTCACCATTTTGGAAGCTTGGCAGAGTAATTCTGAGGTCAAAGGAATCACATCCCAGCAGTCTGCTTTCGGCATAAAGACTGGGAAGCAAATGTAGCTGGAAGTGCAGCCCGTCAGCCTGGAGCGAGCCCGTTTCGTTTGGATCCTCCCAGACCCCGACTGTCACCTCTCCTTGTCCTGAGAACACAAAGCAAAGCCACGAGGGCTGTGACAAGCCAACCGGAGTCTGCAAAAAGCTCCTTCTGTTGTTGTTTGCTCCGTGTTTTTGTGTGTAAGGGGCTCTGCAGGGTCTGTGCCGGCCCCCGGCTGTGCTCACAGGGGTCCAGCACAGCAGCGCTGGGGCTCGGGGTCTTACCAGAGAGAAATGCAGCTGTTGTACCAAAGGCTGGCTCTCTCCTCTGGCTCCTTTTGGAACAATATTTATTTAGTTTTGATTTTTTTTTTTTTATCAGACTGCAAAGCAAAAACGCCGGCCAGGGGCAGCCTGCCCGAGTGGCCGAGCCTGTGGCAGAGAACATGAAGCAGCCAGGAGCACGCAGCCACCTCCTCCTCCTCCTCCTCTCTATCTGCTTAGCCCTGCCCGGTTGTAACCAAGAGGGGTGAATAAATAGTGTTTCTACTGAAGGCTAGTCGAGAGGTTTTCTGCCTGCCCTCTCCTCTTAGCAGTGGATTTGCTTAGAAGCAGTGGTGAAAGTCGGTGCTCTGTCTTCCTTTGTTGCTTGGAGTTGCCCTCTTTGTGCTGAAACTTTCACAGAGAAGCTGATTTCTGTTGAGCTGATAAAGAATAATGTTTTGTTTTGAATGTCTTGTGTAGAAACATCACACCGACAGCCGGGGCACCTCCCAGAGAGGTACTGGGGGGCCTGGGAGTGAGGCAGATGGGGCAGATAACTTCCATCACTGCAGCAGAGTGCCTGCCAGAGCCTAGAGCCAGTTCTGAACTGGAAAGTTCCTGCCACACTCACTTTGCTCTCTCCTGCTTTGTTAGTAGGGATTTTCTATGGAAGCAGAGGCTTTGTCCCCTCCCTGCTCTCCTGGTTAGCCTGCTCTGCTAGGAAATGAGCAAAAGCAGCAGATCTTAAGAAACAAAGGTCTTTTTTTGCATGTAAATGCTCCTGAAGAATGGCAGCAACGGGGGAGACAAAGCAAAGCTGTTTCTAGAGAAATGCAGGTCCCGGCTAGGTCGCCATCTCCTCATTACTGGGGGGCTCACAGGGTCCTGTTCCCTAGCTGGGCACCGGCCCCGCGGCTGCCGTAGCTTGCAGGTGTACTAACCTTATGCTATTTTTTTATTTTATTAAACTCTGTATGATAGGAATTTGACTGGGAGCAGCTCCTTACCATGGAGGTCGGACCCATACGGGGAGGGGGGAGGGCTAATTGTGCGTTGTCAGCTCCTTTTTTGGCTCTCTTTGTTTTTAGTTTTCCCTTTACCATCAATAAAAATTCTACTTTTGGGACGCTGCCCGTGTGGCACGCTCTGGTGCTTCCTCTGGCAACCCTGTGGCTGCTGCAGGGACTTTGCCCCTGTTGAGAAGGTGCAATGCCTCCATGCCTTCCTCCAGCCTTGGTATTCCCCCCCTGGGCTCTTGTGATCCGCTTATTTTAGGGATTTGGGATTGCACAGCATGCTCCTCCAGGATCAGGGGGGTTTGCCCTGGGCAGCTCCCCTCTCTGGACCTTGGTGCTGCCCAGTCTCCCAAGGTGACAGGAGCTCAGCTCCTGTCGCTCCAGCTTTTTCTAGCTCTGGAATTTGGTGCTGCTGTGGGAGGATCTTCCTACCAGCCTCACCGGGTAGGAGAGGGATGTTGGGCTGAGCCATGCTCCTTTCTTGGAAGTGTGTTGCAGGGTTTGGTGGCAATGCCTTGTCTCTGGGCACTTCCCTGCCCTCCCACACTCCACTGCGACGGGAGCCTGGTGAATGGCGAGGGGAATAAATCAGGTTGTGGTCACCATCGACGGCAACTGGCCCTGCCCCTGCCTCTCCCCAGGCAGCATCTGCCTTTGTCCCAGGGATGGAAAAGCTTTTATTGTCCCACTCCAAAGAGCTCTTGTACAGCTTTGAGGAGCCTCTTGGGAGAGACAAGGCTCCTGCTCCTCCCGGAGCAGCCCTTGCTGCCAGTGCCAGGGGCTGAGCCTGTGGGGGAGCACTGGGAAAAGTCAGCGAGTTAAGCAGAAGAGGGAGCTGGGATGGTGCAGTTCATGAACTGTTCCTCCAGAGAAATACACCCCTGTGGAGCTGGAGCTCAACCATTTGTGGCAGGGGAAGTTAAAATCCGGGCTCTGTCCTGTGCCAGCGTGGGGACAGGAACTGTGTCCCCAGCCAGAGCTGTGACTCGCTATCCCCAGGGAACAGGAGCTGGTGGGAGGAGTGAGGAACAGCTCCAACCCACCCGATATCCACCCGGCTCCAAGTGCTTCCCCTCCTGCAGCCCTACAAGCAGGACCAGCCCCAGGCTTCCCCACCCTGCTGTAATCCTTTTTCCCCACAGACAGGACCACGGCCACGCCATCTGCTCAAGCGACCAACTTTATTACCCAGCCAAGGCCCGCAGGGGGAACTGGGGCTGCAGCTCTCACACAGGCTCTGCCTCAGCTTGGCCCTTCAGCCTCTTCTTTCTGTTCCTCTCCTTCCTCCTCCTCTTCCCACTGGCGGTGGGGACTGGCGATGGCTCCCTGCCCACGCCCTCCCGTGCTGGGACATCGCTCAGGACGTTGGCTGCTTCCCCCACATCTGGCAGCGGGGCCTGTGGGTCCTGCCCGCTGAGGGCAGCGGCTGGGGGATGGCTCAGTTCCCTGCTTTTGGAAGGACCTTTCTTTTTCAGACCTTTCCCCTTCTTTTTCTTGTCTTTCTTCTTCCCCTTCCTCTCTTTCTTGGCTGCCTTGGGGGGAGACAGCGGGTGGGCGGGCACATGATGCTCCACGGGGGTGACTCCTCTGCCTGCACTGCTCCACGGGGGGCTCAGAGGGACCCCCTCGGGCCTCGCTGCCCGGTCGATGAGCTCCCCCCCGAACTCGTACAGCACCGGCTCCCTGGG